GGAGTGGCCACTGCACTCCAGTCTGGGGGACAGAGTGAGATTCCAACTCAAAAAGAAAAACAAAACAAAACAAAAACCACAAACATGGCCGGCTTTGGTGGCTCAGCCTATAATCCCAGCACTTTGGGAGGCCAAGATGAGTGGATTGCCCAAGCCCGCAGATTCAAGAACCACCTGGCAACTTGGCGAGACCTCGTCTCTATAATAAGTCAAAAATTAGCAGGGTGTGGTAGTGCACACGTGTAGTTCCAGCTACTTGGAAGGCCAAGGTGAAAGGATCACCGGAGCCCAGCAGGTCGAGGCTGCGGTGGCCGGGACCGGCCACTGCACTCCAGTCTGTGCGACAGAGTGAGACTCCAACTGAAAAAAAAAAAAATTCATTGAGGCCATTGCCTTGCTAAGCTATGGTGTGGCCATGTGCTGTTTGAACTTTGGCCAGGCCATGCTTTCTTAAGTATTGGCCCCCTCCCCTCCCTTGGGGAGATGAATCCCCTCTTTCTTTCTCTCTCTCTAATTTACTTTCTAAATAAACTACATGCTCTAATCTAAAAAAAATTCATTGCCTCATTTAATTCCCCTGTTGTGGGTATAATGCTGTCACTCCTAACTGTGTAAATTGCCCCACCATTTAGAGACTCTCAGTTACTCTTTCCAGAAAATAAAGATTCAATCTTCTGGAACTGGGGTGAGCAATAGCCCAGTGACATGGGATGGGAGTTTAGGGATCTGTTACTTGTATAGCTTTAAGTAATCTTATTTCAACTTTCTGTTCGCCTCCACTTCCAGAGGTACCTGAAACTACCAATTCCTTACCAACTTGGCAGGGTTCTGTGGTTAAAACAAGTTGTGCCAGGCGCGGTGGCTCAAGCCTGTAATCCCAGCACTTTGGGAGGCCAAGGCGAGAGGAATGCCTGAGCTCAGGGATTTGACACCAGCTTGGGCAACTTGATGAGACCATGTCTCTACCCAAAAAAAATTGGCTGGGTGTGGTGGTACACACCTATAGTACCAGCTACTTGGAAGACTGAGGTAGAAGGAATTACCATGCTAGCAATTCTCTTGCCTTCGCCGCCCAAAGTTTTGGGATTACAGGCGTGAGCCACTGTGCCTGACAATGCATTTTTTTTGAGTTGGAGTCTCACTCTGTTGCCCAAACTGGAGTGCAGGGCACGCTCCCGGCCACCGCAGCCTCGACCTGCTGGGCTCCGGTGATCCTTCCGCCTCAGCCTTCCAAGTAGCTGGAACTACAGGCGCACACTACCACACCCAGCTAATTTTTTGATTTATTGTAGAGATGAGGTTTACACCAAGTTGCCCAGGCGGGTCTCGAACCTGCGGGCTCAGGCAATCCACTCACCTCAGCCTCCCAAAGCACAGAATTACAGGCTGAGCCACCGAACCCGACTACAATTTTTTTTTTTTTTGAGTTAGAGTCTCACTCTGTCACCCAAACTGGAGTGCAGTGGCCGTTCCAGGCCACCGCAGCCTCGACCTGCTGGGCTCCGGCGATCCTTCCGCCTCAGCCTTCCGAGTAGCCGGAATTACAGGCATGCGCTACCACACCCGGCTGATTTTTTGATTTATTGTAGAGAAGAGGTCTCGCCAAGTTGCCCAGGTGGGTCTCGAACCCGCAGCCTCAGGCAATCCACTCACCTCAGCCTCCCAAAGGCACGGGATTACAGGCTGAGCCACCAAGTCTGGCTCTAATATTTTTAAAGTTAGCAATTCTGTGACTTTTTGGCTTTTATTATCATTTTAAATTGACACACAACAGTTGTACATACTTATGGTATATAGTGTGCTATTTTGATATATGTATACAATGTGTAATGATCAAATCAGTGGAATTAGCATATCCATTACCTCAAACACGTATCATTTCTTTGTTTTGGGAAGTGGTGTTTATTACATTCTCAGTGTTGTGCAAGCATCATCACTATATCATCAAAACATTTTAATCACCCCAAAAGAAAGTCCATTCCCATTAAGCAGTTACTCTCCACTCCTGCTAACCCCAACCCTTGGCAGCCTACTTTTACTCTACTTTCTGTCTCTGTATTTTGCATCTTTCATGTAAATGGAATCGTAATAGTGACTTTTTGTGTCCGTATTTTTTTTTTTTTTTGG